GGCGTCTTTGAAGTTTGGTAAGCCTTGACAAAATTTGGTAGATCTAAAAATCACCGGACGCACTTGTCTCAGGGAATTGATGACAGATTTTTTCGCAAAGTAAACAAAAATTTGCCCAGTGCGTCCGGGCCCTTAGAAGAAATGGAGAGGTGATTAAAAGAACAGGTACAAGGCAGGTGCGAGGGCTTCGAGCGTAAACGAAGCTAGTATTAGTAGAACAACGGAAAATAAAGCTGTAACTGCGTTGCAATAATTATCCACTTATTCTTCCGTAACAAAATATCCTTCGCTTGCAGAATTAACGAGAATCGCTTCATCACATACGTGCCATCGAAAATGCAGCCAATCAGAATACAGGAAAGCCGTTGAATATTCGACGTTATTATACGGCAAGGTAGTCTTGAGGTAAATCCGAGCGTTCTGATTGGTTCTTTCTTGGTTGGGATTTCGCCATGCGGACCGTTTCCATAGCAGTGTATTTTTTGTTTTCGATTTCCGGCAAATTCAAAACAAGCATAGCCCGAATGCCATATAATAAACTACTTACTAACCTTGCTAGCTCGAGCCGTACAGGGGAATATTGGCCCTTGGTCGTTTTTGTGCTGCTACGTCCTCGGGCCAATATTCCCTTGTACGGCCCTCGCGTTCGTTTAGTAAGAAGTTAATATTACACCCAAACTTCCCATCATGCGCCGCGCGTATGTCGCAATGACATTGTTGGCCACTGTATTTTCCATGGCATGATATAAAATAGTTATGCAACGCTTTTGAGTGATATACCATGGAATATCCCACTTGTCGTTAAGGCTCGTGTGTATACCGAGAAGATACAAGTGACTCGAAAGCGTTGTATTACTAGAAACTAGTATACATTTATTACTACTGACTTCATTTATTACCATATAACATTTTTAACAGCTTCCACTGGTGGCCATGAAAAGTCGTGTTCTCAAGACGTTTTGGAGACTCTCGTCTGGCCCACTCAGAACACCAATCCGAATTCTGAGTACCACAACAGGCGGCATTTTTGAACCAATACCCAGAGAGGAGCTGGTGACGAAATTCAAGTCGAGGTTAAGAGACAGGCGGTTTCTTCCAGGCTCCTCGGGCGGTGGTTTCCCAGAGTTCCTAGCAGAGCCAAGAGATTCATTTCCACTCGGTGTGCGAGTAAATAATAGGAACCAGTCCTCTCTTGCGGAGCTGACTGAAAAATGCATGGATTACTTAAAGGAACATTTTTCGTCTAATCCCGCGATATTATTCCGCGGCCTTCCAGCTAAAACAGCAGAGGACTTTTCAATCATTGCTAAAGCAACGCGGAAGAAGTCATTAACTTATGAAGGAGGCACGGCCCCTCGTACCCAAGTTGACCAAAATACTGGGACCTATACTGCGAGCAATGAAGCAAACTGTTATACAATAGAACTACACAATGAAATGGCCTATAATGATGTTTTTCCTTCCAAGGTTAGCTCAAACACACATTTTTTTTTAAGGAATTAACTAAATAAACCACAATTATTATTGTCCTCAGTTCTAAGACTTAGCGGTCCATAATATTGGGTTGATGACCGACTTTGTTCTCATTTGTTCTCACACCTCATTTTATTGAAGTGTCTCGGAGAAAACAAAAATTTCCTATTTAACAACCTTTCTTCAAAACGCTGGCTGTTATATTTCTCATCTAGATATTGCAAGTGAACCGCTAGGTTTTTGGCGTTATTTTGAATGAAAGAAGGATTGATATAGCGACAAAAATGGTGATATCGCTGCGAAAGAAACTAGTGGCATATGAATGTAATGTCATATGGCTCAGTTCAAGCTGTCCCACCCCTCCCTGACATTTTTCTCACTCATACAAGCTTTTCTTCATTAGGTTTTCTTTTTCTGCCTGAAAGAACCAGGTGACGGTTGTGGAGGCGAAACTCCATTGGCTAAAAACAGCGACATCCTGTCCAAAATGGATCCTGAAGTTGTACGAAAACTTGAAGAAAAAGAACTGCAATATGTGCGCTACTTGCCTGACAAATCTCACAGAGAATACCTGAACTGGCAGAACGTGTTCAGAACTGAGAAGAGAAGGGTACTGTATTAGGGATAATTAACAATTAGATTATGAGCTCGAGATTTCTACGGTGCGATAGCTGATGAGGCCGAAGGCCGAATCAACTAGGCCTCATAGAAATCGAGAGCGAATGATTTAATCGTTTTAGTAGAATTCTAACCGAAATTTACTCCAAAGGACGGTTTCCAATTACTTCTCGACGTATTATTAAACTTTGTGCCTTAGAAAGATCGCTCGGATTGAATTGTCATTTAGAGTGACGTTGTGTGCGCGCCATCATATTTTTTCAAAAGTTCAAGATTTTTAAAGTCAAGAACCCATGAATATTTTTCCTTTAGTCTTCTTAGGAATTTATTCACCATTTGCATTAAAATGTTCCTTCCAAACTTTGTTTAAACGAAAAAAACGTCGCCATTTCGTAGACGACCTTCGGCCACTGCACTCTAAAGGCTGATAGTATACGAGTAGCTCAGCCAATCAGATTACAGCATTCGCATTAGTATACTGGTAAAATTCTACTAATGAGTATTTAATAGTATAAATCTACTAGCGTTCTATGACGAATGCCGTTCGCTGATTGGCTACGCTACTCACTGTCTAATCTGTTGTAGTATTGAGTAGCCTAGGAGTGTGCGCTTGTTAACCAACTGGTTGCTTCTTCGCGTTTTCGAGATGTCTGTAAAGCGGATTTAGAAAAAGCTTTGAACAACTAATAGTTATATACTAAAACAATTAGACTATTCGCTCTCGATTTCTATGCGCGCCTTCGTCAACTATCACACGATAGAAATCTCAAGCTCCTATACATCGAATTGTTTAGTAGTGGTACAGTAGGTGTAGTGGAGTAGGACTAATAGGTCTGTACCAGTGTGCTGCGCCAGTCGTAAGGTTACCCAAGCACCTGGGAATCTCGGTACAGGTGTAATCAGTTACATTTTCGGCGGTTTTTTCCAGTATCAGTTAAAAGTTCAGCCCGTTTAGCAGCAAAATACCAGGCCCCACTTGTTGGAAGGCTGGATAACGCTATCCGCCGGATAAATCGCTATCCAGTGGGTACGTGTTAACAAAGCCACCCTATCCGCTGGATAGTGATTTATCCAGTGGATGGCGTCATTCTCCTTTCGAATAACTCCGCCAGGCAGGAAAATTTTGAAGTTCTCAGATCTCAGCTGTGAATTATAAAACGCGTCATTGCTTGGTTGACAGTTGAAATTTACAATTCTAAACTTAACCCGCGAGTGCCCATTTATACACTTGGGTGGTCTCTCGGTTATCCCGGCGTATATAGCCAGTTCGGCTTAAGACATTATCGATCGAGAGTCGCATAATACTTAATTCTCAACAACGGGATTTTTTCGTTCTTTCTTTCGCATGTGAAAACATGCATGCATGGAAGCCACGGACTCAAATGCCGTTGAAACTGCCACTGAATTGTTTTCAGGCTTCTTTGCAGTGAGTTCAAACTTAAGTCATGGCTACTACAATCATTTCTAATTTTTAGACCCATTTGTTCCCAACTCACTAGCTTGTGTTGCGTCATCACGTCATGCGTCGCGCTCGGTTTTTGATTGGGTGAAAATAATCAAAACCCATTAAGTGCCAAGAAGTCACTTGTTCCCCATCAGTGACTCACAGATCTGTTCCTTGCGTTACTAGGAAGCAGAGACACGAGCGAAGCAACAAGGTTATAACTTCAGATGGGACGCCAGCGGGGATCTACACTTGTGGCAAATTAAACCAGTGTTCATTCGTCACCCGGTAACGGGAGAAAGAATTTGGTTCAACCAGGCGTATAATCACAATATCACGCACGAAAAGGCCAAGCCAAGATTTATCAGCACTGATATCCCGGATCAAAAAATGCCTCGCAATACTCTCTATGGCGACGGAAGTGAGATCGAACCGGAAGTGCTGCAACACTTGCGGGCAGCGGCTTGGGCATGCGCAGTTGGTTTCAAGTGGCAAAAGGGTGATTTGTTAGTGTTGGACNTCCGGCGACGGAAGTGAGGTCGAACCGGAAGTGCTGTAACTCTTGCGGGCAGCGGCTTGGGCATGCGCAGTTGGTTTCAAGTGGCAAAAGGGTGATTTGCTAGTGTTGGACAACTTGGCTGTTGTGCATGGAAGACTTAGATTTACGGGTAACAGAAAGATACTTGTGTATTTGACTGTTTAACTGGAAGAATTTGTTAAGATGACAAAAGAAAATACGTGCTTCCCGGCTGAAGTGTGTAAGAACCAAGGATTTTTAAATCCTTGCCGATGAAGAACTCAGTCAAAATGCGTTTTGTGATGCTATCGTTATTAACTCTTGGTTTTGCTGAATTTTCTACATTGCGCATCGTGTTATCAGCTCAGTCCTGCGTGTTTGGATATGCAAGGAAACACGGTCTCTCGTACTTGTTATTTTATTTCCCGGAGCCTTGGGTCGTGTGCGCTTTTGCTTGTAAAAGCTTACAGTAACACGTGCATCACTACTGAACGTGCCAGAAGGGGCGGAGGTATTCATTAGCCGGTCTAAAAGCACGTTACGCATGTCGCAGAATTGAGCGCTCCTGAAGACACTTGTTACATAAAATTTACATCTGGGAACATCTAGTTGGCTCCTCTTTCTGACACTCTGTTTGTTAACGTCGCGTCCTTCAAAGGTGATATTAAAACATGTAGCCTTATATTACATAGGCTGATTATTTCCTGCAATAATATACCTCACAAAAAATATTTTAGAGTAGGTCAAAGATATAATTTATTTGCATTTTAATTTATCTCTACTTTTTCTGAAACTACAAAAATTAAATGACACGACGTTTCGAACTTTTTTTTCTTTCTTTCGTTACGAATTATTATTTTTTTAATAAACGGCAACTCTTAGTAATGAGAATAAAAGAAAGGTTTACAGAGCGAGTGACATAGCCTCACTCCCACGTGACTTTGACTGGTTCAAAGTCCCAGGCGTCAGGATGTCCCATGGGCCTTTTCCAACCTGATGTGCTCCACTTAAATACCGGCTGCTGGTCATGTGTTGGCCCGCTGACCGCCATACACTGTAATTCCTTGATCAACTCTGAATTGGTTACCTTTAAGGAAATGCAAAGGAGAAAAAGGTAAACAGACTCGTTCACAACTAGTTTAGTTTATAAAACCCGTAGCAGAAACTACATTCAGTAAAACAGGATAGTATTGTGGAAAATATTCGAGAACATTTGATAACCAATAGACTGTATAGACTATTTCCCCAACCTGATCCTTTTTATAGCTAACGCTTTAAAAAGTTCTTTTTTTCCACAAGTTTACCCATCCCCTTATCCAACTCAACAATTTATCTTCTTTAAAACCCAATAGGCCCTTTGCAGTCTTTGACAATTTTTTTTAACAAACTTTTTTTATATTATGGGCTATAACTTAAAGAATGCCTGAAAATATCAAAATGGCCAAGTTTGAGACCACTGGAATTAAANTTACCCTCCCCCTTATCCAACTCAACAATTTATCTTCTTTAAAACCCAATAGGCCCTTTGCAGTCTTTGACAATTTTTTTAAACAAACTTTTTTTATATTATGGGCTATAACTTTTCATAGAATTATGGGCGATAACTTAAAGAATGCCTGAAAAGATCAAAATGGCCAAGTTTGAGACCACTGGAATTAAAGAGTAAGTTTATATGACAGTTTGAATTTTTGGAAAATTTAGAGGATATCCATAGAAAATGTTGCCCGAGAGTAAAGTCTTACTCTCCAACATTACAACATTTTTCACACAAGTCTTAATTTTATAAAACTTCACACCGTCATAAAATCTCATTCTTTAATACCAGGGGCCTCAAACTTGGCCATTTAGATATTTTCGGCATGCCTTTTCCATTTCTGGCATTCTTTAAGTTATACAGTAGCCCATAAATTTATGAAAAGTAGGTCACGTGATGGCCTAGCTGCAAAGGGCCTATAGCGTCTTTGAAACTCGCATTGGTGTTTTGTTGCTCAGGCTTTCCGTCCTTGTCGATTTTAGCCGTTGGGCGACATTGATACCCTGGAGTTGTATTCTTGCAGACTATAAAGCCTCACCTTGGCGTCAATTCCACCCTCTTCTCTGTGCCCCAGTGCTCCAAACGGATACTTCCCATCCGCTGGGTTCAAGTCCGACCGAGCCGAGATAGCATTCTCTCCACTGTAGGGTGGGGTGCAGTTACAACGTGACAATGGGTCATGTTGATAATCATTGTACCTGGAAAATCACAAATCTCCGGCGTGAGTCTGAGGGAAGTACACTATCGGTGTTAGAAGCAATTGCGATGCTAACACCAAACGTCTTTTAGTCGAAAATGTCACTAGGACTTTTAGTTCACCATACTTCAGCCACTACAACTAAATTGAGTGGGAAAAAAATTTGAACTGCAATCGATTTCATACTGACACTTGAGCCCCAAATCTAACACTCATAGTTTCTTGGCCAGCATAAGCTTCAATAGCTTCAAGCAATAGTATTACATGTTTTTGGAAGTAAAATCTAAATCCATGCGAACCAACGTTTCACAGTCCATTGTACAAAAGTGAGGAACCGGAGATGGGGGTTGATTGACACACTTAAGACATTCAAATCAAAAGAACCTGGATATTTTTTTACCTAGAATTTCGCAACCCAACCAAGTTTAATATTGATTAGCCTGAGGAATACGTACATAAGCTTGCGTCGCGCAGTCATAACGACAAAGCCAACGAGAACGTCACCAAACAAAAGGTGTTATGAGCAAAACAATGGTTATGCACGTGCGTTATAAATTTTTGTACACCTCTTAGCTGTCCTCTACGAAACAACAACGTGAAATGACGAAGCTCTGCGTGTTTGGAGAACGTGAACCGCGATGAATAATCTTTCGCATTTTCTCATAATCATGAATTAAGTTNAATTTCGCTACTCGAGGACTATTACTAATAGTCCTCTAGTAGCGTAGCCAATCAAAATGCAGGATTTGCATTAGTCCACTAGTTGGGTGATACTAACACTCATTATTTGTTAGCCAGCGTAAGCTACAATAACTTCAAGCAATAGTGTTACATGTTTTTGGAAGTAAAATCTAAATCCATGTGAACCAAAGTTTGACAGTCCATTGTACAAAAGCGAGGAATCGGAGATGGGGGTTGATTGACACACTATGACATTCATATGAAAAAACCTGGATATTTTTTACCTAAAATTTTGCAACTCAACCAAGTTTAATATTGATTAGCCTGAGGAATACATAAGCCTGCCGTCTCCCAGTCATAACGACAAAGCCAACGAGAACGTCACCAAACAAAAGGTTTTATGAGCAAAACAATCGTTATGTATGTGCGTTATAAATTTGTGTACACTTCTTAGCCGTCCTCTACGAAACAACAACGTGAAATGACGAAGTTCTGCGTATTTTGGACAACGTGAACCGCGACGGAGAATTTTTCTCATTTACTTATAACCATGAATAAAGTTTCACGAGCAACAAACCAGGCCGCGAGTTAAACAGCCTTGTACCTCATCAGTCTCATCATGCTTTCCATGTCAACGACCTTGCCATGGTCTCGCTTGAACATCTGTGCTCGAGGCGCACCTTCATAACTGAACCACGAGCCAAACTTCTCGTACCTTGCCCTGGCACCGCTTATGTTGAAAATGTATGGAAAATACCTGGAGAAAAGAATGTATGATTCAGTAAATATAATAAACAATCAGATTCTGAGCTTCAAATTTCTATCGCGTGATAGCTGACGATTTTGTGAACAACCACACACTCGGCTAGGCTACGCCCTATCTAATAAACAATTAGATTATNAGGTCAGTCAGTCCTGGCTTGAATGATGATTGCGTTGATCATGTTGGGAACAATTTTACGCGTGAGCAAGACGCTTTGCTCTCACGCACAGTGCCTCTCTTCTCCCAAGGGCAAAAATACATACGTACGACCCGTTGAGGAAACATGAAATACGGCCGGGGAGGACCTGTACTGGAGCTTAGCCCTACCAATTCCTTTTATTAATTTATTTCCACTCACGGTAAGTTGTAGCTTGCCCAGTAAGTGTTCTCCTGCAGGTAAACAGACATATCTGCTACTTCTATGATGCCAGGTATCTGCTCCAGGATCAAAAGGGTCCCTGGGTAGATGGGCTCGCCTGGAGTGAACTGCTTGTAATCAAGGACCATCCACTAAGAAAATAATAATAAACAAACCCATTCAGATTAGCTAACGATACAGTCAAGGTCATCACATGAAAAGGAGGCTTACGTCCATGTCAAACCAGTGTTCCAATTTGCATATGGATCATATGCCTCCTAAACGTTTTAATTACTTTCGTTCACTTAAGTGAAATATAATTCACAATTATTCCTCAATTTTCTATATACTACTTATTCAACGCTTTCGAGTGGCATACTACCATAGAATATAAGGTTGGGTGTAATATCGTTGAATATACAACGCTTTCCTGTATTCTGATTGGTTATATTGCTAAAGCAGCTTTCGTAATATGATAGGTTTTTATTCTTATAATACTATATTAATTATTAGTAGGGTTAGTTAAGCAGACTTAGATATTACACTTTTAAATTATGCTGAAGGAATCTTTACCATGGAATTTTCTATGGCACGGTATAAATACTGGGGCGGATACAAGATTTTAGAGAAGGGGGTTCAAGGGGCGGGGGNCTGGAGTGAACTGCTTGTAATCAAGGACCATCCACTAAGAAAATAATAATAAACAAACCCATTCAGATTAGCTAACGATAGTCAAGGTCATCACATGAAGAGGAAGGTTAAGCTGGAAAACTGTTAAAACTGAGGTCCTCGGAATTCTGAAGCCAAGTCTGTGTGTTATAATGTCTCATTTCTTTAATCTAGGGGATTGAACCGAACTCCCGGAACCCCTGCGCCCCTAGGAACTACCCCAAAATGCACTTACTACTCTACACATTATGGAACACACAACATAGACGTCTTACTAACCTCGTTATTGTAGCTGTGGGACACATCCAATTCCGCCACACAAAGAAATAACAATATAGGAATTATTAGTTTTTTGTACTATAGTTATTGGCATTGTCTGGTCATATATGTGGACAGTTAAATTTCTATCTGCTTCAAGGTGTTCTAAGTTGAATGCAGAAAGAAAACGTCTCAAAAATGTCTCAGATTATGGAAAGTTTGACTATTTGTTCATGAAACTATTTGTGCATGAAAGAACTGAAAACTTGTAACACGAAAGACTTACGTTCCACTGTTGTGCTGTGAAAAGTAATAACCCCATTCTACTGTGGTGCGTGCCAATCGATTAGCTACGATAGAGCGTATCCACTCTAAAACGATTCCTCTCTCTACTACATACTTCCACAGGTCAGGGTTACTATTTCCAATAGTGGTTTCTTGAGACACCTGCGATAAAAAGGAGTATTAATTTCCCTGGAAGTACTCCCACAAAAATCGGGTAGGGTTGTGTGGCCTGCTTTCCAAACCCCTTACCCTATGTAAGACCAAAATCTGCGATTTTCCCAACCCTATTTGTGACCTGACCAAAAATTTGACACTCTAATAAGACCCTGTTTCAGACCTGTCTCATTATTAGTTACCTAGTTCAGACATTCATTCGGGGCATTTCAATTTTGATGTGTTTTCTAAATTACTGGAGAGGCAAGTTTATAGTAAGATCTTTGGTATTATATCCCCTTATATTACGCAATGGCAGCATGGCTTTTTGCCAGGCAGATCAACTGTGTCTCAGTTAGCCCAAGTAGTTCATCAGTTGCCTAGGGCTCTTGAAATGAGACAACAAGTCGATGTCATTTATCTTGATTTTTCCAAGGCCTTTGATCGAGTATCACACGAAAAACTTCTGTTTAAGCTCGAGTGCCTTGGAATCAAGGGTCCTCTGTTAGCTTGCTTTAGATCTTACTTATCTGGCAGAAGACACAGGGTTGTAATTGACAATGAAGCATCTGATTTTCTCCCAGTCACATCTGGAGTCCCCCAGGGATCAATTTTGGGTCCCCTGCTCTTCTTGGTTTACATAAATGACATGCCTGATGTAATTTCAGGCGATACATCATTGCCCCTTTGTGCCGATGATTCGAAGTGTTTTTGCCTAATTCTCGGCCAAGATGATGGTGATAAATTACAGGAAAACCTGAATAAGTTATTGGAGTGGTCATGCATTTGGGGAATGGAGTTCAATGTCAAAAAGTGTAAGGTTGTAAGAGTAGCACGAACTAAATGTTCTTATGAGAGGGATTACTTTCTTGGAGGAACCAAGTTGGAGCGTGTTGCTGTTGAAAAAGATCTTGGTATTTGGATCAGCCACGATTTAAGCTGGAATCATCACGTTGAAATTATCACGTCCAGAGCTCAAAAGATGCTTAATTTGCTTCATAGGACATGTAAGGATATGACTGATATTAGAACTAAAAAGTTACTTTATATTACTTGGGTGCGGTCACGTCTAGAATATGCCAGTGTGGTATGGTCACCTTATACCAAAAGAAATATTACCAGCTTAGAACAAATTCAGCGCAGAGCCACGAGATTCATTCTCGGCAAGGAGTATTCTAAGCACGACCGCCTAAGTAAATTAAATTTATTACCTTTACAATATCGTAGGGAAATTCATGATCTCGTATTCTTTTTTAGATGTTTTAAGAATATGTATAGTTTAGATATTTTGGACTTTGTATCGTTTCGAACTTGCAACAAGCCTTTGAGAAAGATTGATTATCTAACACTCAACGTCCCGTTCAGTCGCACAGAATCTTTTAAGAACTCATATTTTATACGGGTTTGTCGCTCATGGAATGAATTACCTCTTAACATCAGGGAGTCTAACAC